TTAAATAATTAACCCAACAATTACTTTGCATGGAGAAAGCCGAGTGATTTTATTTTAAATAGTAAATAGGCTTAAAATGACCTTTGGGATTAGAAGGGCTCAAACTGATAAAAGTAATTGAAAGTTACAGCCTAATATAGTTTTCCATAATCTCTTAGAAATATTCAAAAGCCACCCTTCAGGATACATAATAAAGGAAACAAACAATTATAGAGGAAAAAGGGAAAAATTGAAGGTGGTTAAAAATTATCCTACATTAAAGTTTTTTAATATCCTGCACATTTCATTTTTGCAGGTGTTTTATAACTTTTAGTAAAATAAAGAAGTTTTTAATATATCTTTGGACAAGGAATGAGATACACACATCTATATCTACATCTATATCTACAGATATTTTGCTGGTTTTTAAATAGGTAAATAAAAGCTATCTTGACATAATGTAGAACGTACCAGTTCCAGTAACAGACAAAGGCTACATAGACAAAGGATTTGAATCTAAATCAGGAAACTATCTTTCTGGTTCTAACACAAACTGTAATCGTGAAAAGACCAACTCAACTCTTTGGGTATTAATTTCTACTTTGCAAAATAAAAGAGATTATATATTAGGAGGGATTTTTAAGATAGGCATCTTCCATCTCTAACATTCTATGATCCTAAAATACAACTATATTTGGGGAGAAATTGAGATTCAGTAAAGGCCTACAATAGATGTCAGAATAAAGAAAAATTGTGACTAAGTCTAGGGGGAAAATATGATATGACAGGAAAGGGAGAAGAAAATCTAACCTAAATATGACAATTTTAATTTAGAGGGTGTACTCTATTACCAGAATTAAGTTAATTGGGCAGTAACTTAGTATGCTGTTTCTCTTTTGGTTAACACAGTTAATGATAAAAGAAGGATTGTGAGTGTGGTTGCCTTCAAGAGAAAAAACAGAAATTGTAGACAGGACAGAACTAAATAGGACAAAATCTTATTATCTATAAGAAAAATCCTACTACAATGAATTAAAACGAAAGAACTGACAGAATACAACCAAAGACTATTGGAGCTTACAGTCCCTCAGAGAGGACAGTGATTACAATAGAAGGTAATATTATGAAACATTTGCTGGGCTCGGCATTTGGTCCAATAGGCTTTACCTTCATGATCTCAGTCAATCCTCAAACTGATGCTACTATTACAGACATCTTATTGATGGGAAAACAAGACTCAAGTAAGTATTTTGCTCAAAGTCACTTAGTAAGTGTCAAAGCCATAGTTTGAGTGGGGGTTATGTGACTTCATACTATGAATACTGTATATATGACTATAGTCATACTTCCTTTCAAGAGGAAATTGAGGCCCACAGAAATAGAATCATACAACTGGCCAGAAGCAGTTTTAACAGTTATTTTGTGATACGGTCTCTTTATAGTTCATACATTCAAACACCTTGCTAATTACAAAAGCCAGCTAGGTGAAAGTTTACTTATTTATCAACTAATATTTAGTATCTGCTTTATATCATTGGATGTTGGCTATTCACATAATTTTGGATAGCTTGTTACTCAACAGTTTGTTATTCAATCATCTTGGTCCTATGAAATCCAAGAGAATAATGAAAGTATATTTTAAATTTTTTTTTTCAACGTTTATTTATTTTTGGGACAGAGAGAGACAGAGCATGAACGGGGGAGGGGCAGAGAGAGAGGGAGACACAGAATCGGAAACAGGCTCCAGGCTCTGAGCCATCAGCCCAGAGCCCGACGCGGGGCTCGAACTCACAGACCGCGAGATCGTGACCTGGCTGAAGTCGGACGCTTAACCGACTGCGCCACCCAGGCGCCCCGAAAGTATATTTTAAATAGTTTTTTTTTTAAGTTACCTTATGAACTGTTGCAAAAAATAAATTGTCAAGATAAAATACAGAACAAATTAAGTGGAGAAGCAAATTAATCTAACTTATTTTCTGTTAATACACAAGAGGGAAAAATATGTTCACTTAGTTTTCAGGATAAGTAAACTATTGGCATGTAGTGTACAGAATAGAAATTTCTCATAAAATGTTCAAAGCAAGGGGAAAATGAAAAGAATTAGAGAGTTTTGTTGTTTTGAAAATCAACTGCAATGGATTGAGTTATTAAACTAAAAATAACATTCAAATATGGTTGTATTTGTTTTCACATACTCCTTTATTTTAACCTCCAAATAAATGACAAAATAAGATGGAAAAAAAGATAATGTTTGTATGTATAAACACAAGTGCTTGGGGGTAGTGGTTGTGAGAGTGTCAATGAATGAGCCCTGAGAAAAAATGAATACTTACAGGCTAAATGTGGCCAGACATTATAATCCATCACTGATCCCTAAAGGGCACTAATAATATGTAAATGTGTGAATTAGAAAACACATTCAAGGGTGTTGATAAACTTGATAGGATAATCAGCACATGCTGACAGACTAATGAAACTGATGAACTGATAGGGCAGCTTATCTCCTGGGCCATTTTTTCTCTTGTCAAATGGAGGCTAATCAAAATGTATTAGGAGTTAAAGCAAATACTCGGAGGATTTCACCCATTTGATTAGGAGGTGAACTCACCCTGAGAAAATTATAGTTTCGTGAACAATTGAAACTACAAAACCCGCTCAGCTGAAAGACCCTCACCTAAAATTACACAGAAGGCAGCCACCATAATTATGGAAGAAATATGGAATGTTAAATCATATTGGGATTCTCCCATCACAAAGACTTCTCAGAGTTTGAGCAAAATGACCTCTTTCTATAATGAAAGATAAGACAAAGGACCAAGCAATAACCCCAGGGACACACTTATCGTTTGCTGCCTGTGTGTGCTCAGCATCTGTGTAACCATATGAGAGACAGATCCCAAGGTAGCAGCTGACTTTTCAATCAAATTTATTTGCATAAAATAATTGAATGAATTTTCTGAAATCACTATAGTGAATACCACACTTCCTATTAGCAATAAAGATGCCATATGCAGTCTGTTGCCAAGGAGCTGAGTCCTTTCCTCGTTTAAAGAAAGACATCATATGTGAAAATTCAGGAAAAATGGGAACAAGGGTTCCCGAGCATTAGTGTTAAAAATAAAATCATAAACTAAGGGGGGCCTGGGTGGCTCAGTCAGTGAAGCATCTCACTCTTGGTTTCAGCTCGGGTCATGATCTTGCAGTTCGCGAGTTCGAGCCCCACATCAGGCTCTGTGTAGACAGTGTGGAGCCTGCTTGGAATTCTCTCTCTCTCCCTCTCTCTCTGACCCTCCCCCGCTCTCTCTCTCTTTCCCACTCTTTGCCTCTCCTCTCTCAAAATGAATAAACATTAAAAATTTTTTTTTAAATAAAAAAATCAAATCATGAACTAAAACCACCGTGCCTTCTTGAGAAAGCTAGAGAAAACAATCCTTTTAATATTGATTTTGACATGAATAACCATCCAGCATTAATACAGAAAAGTTAACTCAACTGACAAATCTATACATACTAAGGCACACCCTTTATGGACACATATACAGGTTAGATACATGTGCTAGGTAGACAGATTGGTGATAACATGCTGGGTAGTAAAAGGCACTGTTCTAATGTGCTAAATGTACCCAAAGTACATTTAATGAAGCTAGATTTTTAGCTTTCAGTAATTATACCAAAGAGAAAAAGAAACCACAACTAAAAATATCCCAGTGTCCTTTTTCACCTAATCATGAAATCTCTCCACTGCTGCACAGGCCAACTTGGGGTGGGATCTCCAGAGACATGGGATGAAAACATTGACCCCTTCCAAATTACTATTTTTCTATTTACTGACCTGTGCCTCATTCTATCTCTAAACTATTTCTAATTTTTTTTCTCATTTAGAAATTAGAAGAAGTGAGTGTCTTTGCTAGCTATGTATTTTCTAGTTTGGGAAGGTTTGGGATTTGTTGTGTGTGCTCAAGCCATACAGCCAGTATCAAATTTCTCATATCAAAGACTACAGAAGCATAAAATAATCCCAAAGATTATGTAAGTCTCGTTTATTTTATATGCCGAGAAATATTAAACAATTTAACCAAGTTTGATGAGAAAGGAAAATCTGAGTTTATGATTTGTGCTTTGGAGAAAAATATGCAATTTAAAGAAAAAAGTAACCTGTTTTCTTCCCTCCTTTATCTGGAAATAGCAAAGTTAATCGGCAGAGTATCTTAAACTGTAGGGATTTTTTTTCTAAGAAACACATACTGAATGCGTAGTTTTCAGTTGTGTCTACTATCAAATAGGTATGGTAACAATTTAAGGCAGTCACAGATCAATCACAGACGATAGCTAGATTATTTTATTAGAAATTCTAGTGCTTGACCTCTTGCACTTTACTCTAAAATAATACTCTGAAAAAAACCTATTTTGATCCAAAACCTTATCAGTGAAAACTATAAAGTTGGTTCAGTTATTCTCATTTTTTATAAGCATTAAAACCATTACTCTCTCTTCCATACCATGTTTATTTGTAGGAATTTTCTGATTAAGAAAGTAACATGATCAAAACTTATCATGAATTTGATAAATCATTAAAATATAAATCTTTATTCACCATTTCAATCTCTAGAGTCTAGCTAACACTCACATCCAATGGGTTTGTGAGTCTCTTGCAACAACTATGGTATCTGGCCAATTTGTTAAGAATCACTATGTCAATGTATTTATTTGCTCTTGTTAGAATAAGTGTGCTTTGTCGGGATGTCTGGCTGGCTCAGTCAATAAGAGCATGCGACTCTTGATCTCTAGGTCATGAGTTCGAGCCCCACATTGGGGGTAGACTTTACTTAAAAAAAAGAAAGAAGAAGAAGAAGAAGAAGGGTGTTTTGTGAAAATTTGAATGTATCACACGGCTGTGAATAAGTTTTTTGTGTGTAAGGAGTAATAATCTAATTTACTAGACTTCTGTTTAATAGAAGCACAAATTTTCATTTCTCCACAGGTCCCTGAAATATCAGTTACAATATTAACATTTTACTTACCCATCATGTTGTACAAGCTCTGTGGGGCAAACTGCCTTGGCATTTTCTGAATTGCTTCCTTGTATACACTAAGGGCATCCTAATTTAGGAAACAAAAAAGAGACAAAGTACAGTGATATGCACTACAAATAAAATAATAACATCCTTCCAAAATCAAAACCTTCCACTGCTATTTCTAAAAGTTTCATTAGAGGAAAATGATTGAGCTGTTTTTTGGTAGCATAACTACCTTAATTCCATGAATGAAAATATTCAACCCAGTTAGTAGAGATAGGCCATACAAAAATGTAATTTAATGAGAAGTCAATGTTATCAATGCTCTTTCATCTTAGGGTAGGTTCTCCAGTTCACGTAGATTATTCAGTTAAAAAATAGTAAAATTCACATTTGGAAATTACCCATAATCATCTAAAATCTGTAGTTACTTCAAGTCAAGCAACCAGGTAGGATCTAAACAAAATAGTGACTAACAAATCTTCTGGCTACTGAGATCCACTGAGTTTATAAAATGCATTTATTTAAAAAGTTGTATCTTCATCCTTATACTGCAGTCTTAATACATTGTATAAGAGTATGGATTTGAGAGAGCGAAAGGGAAGGAGGAGTGATAGTAAATGTGAGAGAAGAAACCCAGACAGGCATGCTTCATGGAAAATTAAGGGTACACACACCTCCCAGCTTCCTGTACAATGTCCTGTCTCCATTGCTTTTCCTCTCATCCCAATTAAAAATATAAAATTAATTTTCATCTTAGTCCTATTATAAAAAGAAATAAGTGGGTAGGATTAACATCAAATCCCTTCCTTAATACTCAGAGCACAAGCAATGTATTTTTTTTTTTTTAACATCAAACAGTGGAGATAACAATGACAATGTGTCTTGGAGCATAAAATCAAAGAGAAGACAGGCAAATAAGCTTAAGACACTATGTTATTTCTCTTTCTAGAGGAGTCACAATTGCTCCGAGAAATTCACAGTAAAGAAATCTTAAGTGTTGTGTAGCAGACATTCTTTTCCAACTGAATTTCACAATTCTTTTAATAAAAACTCATATTAACTTCTTAAATGATCATAGTGTCCCTGCAATGAGATCTTACGCTAGAAAACATGGAGACTAGGTCAAGCACAAGGGGGAAGGAAAAAGGCAGAGGTTTTGGCCTGACCTCATAATGTCCCTGTTCATGATAGAGTTTTCCCAGGTTGTACAGACAGCTGGTAACTGAGCTCTTATGTGCATGAGGGTCCTTTAGATTTTCATCAGGGATCTCGGAGCACTTTAGGAACGTGCGTCGGGCTTCTTCTGTCTTTCCTTGGTTCATTAGAATAATACCGGTGTTTAAATATGCAGCTGAGGGAAAAAAAAGGGAAATACAAACGTGAGAAGATGATGCACTCTGTGACTACAATAAAGTTATACTTACTGCCACCCAATTTCTATGGATTATTTCTGATTTTATAAGAAAACCAAGATAAATACTTAGGGAACAAACATATACGTAAAAATAATGCAATAATGAGTGCAGGTGTCAGTGAAGAAACTATGAATAGTCATTGCCCTCATAGAGCTCAAAATATTTTGAGCTTAAACGCTAGAGGACTAAAAGTTGTGTTCATCTTAATACATTAAAAATGATAAATGGATATCAAACATGATTCAATTGAGAGAGATCTATTTGTGAGAGGCTTATAATCCACCTGGTAAATATTCAGAAATGGAAACAGCATGTTTTTTTCTCTCTGAGGCTGTAACTCATCAAGATAATTTTCATGGATAAAGAAGGAAAGAAAGAGGTGTTTTAAAACAACTTGAATGTTACTTACAAGCCAGTGTAGGCCTGCTTCCGATCGCCAATTTGTAATAATGCAATGCTTCCGCAAACCTGCTGTTCTCCTGTAGAAGTAACCCTCTGCAGGAGGAAAATAGAAATTTGGAGGACTGAATTACTATACATAAAACCACAAATCTGTATTTTATATTTCAAAAATAAAAATGGTTAGAGGGGCTATACGAATGCTGACCTGGTAGTACAAAAATAAATTCTAAGTAGAAGGAAATGACTCCTCAGGAGAGAAAATACTGGAGAGGTATCAGCTACATTTATGTTGCATTAGAAAGTATTAAGAAGTATTTTCAAAAAGCCCTTTACTCCCAGTGAACTTTTCCCTTTCCAGCAGTTTTCCTCTCCCATTGGAATGACCCACCACCTGGATTTCTTCTTGGAGCATGCACAATTTTTCATCACTTCAGAAAGGAAACTTGTCTAAGGCAACACACACACACACACACACACACACACACACACACACACACACACAAGAACATGAGATGCCTCTCTGACTAGCCATATTACTGGGGAAATATTGGTCCGTGACTGCCTGAGAAACAAAAGGTAATATGGGTCAACAGGAAAAAGAATTTAATCAGATACTATACAGGAACAGAGAAAAAAGATTGAAGGTTACCCACATTGTTATTTCCTTATTTTCTGGATTCGGTTAAATAAGTCTTAATTTCAGAACACTGGGAAAACTTCACTTCGCTGTTGTGAGACACGACATGCTTTTGTCTACAGACCCCTAAACCCCATGGGTCTCCTGCGGAAGCTTCTAAAGCAGTGGCCACATGGATTATATGTCATTCCAGATTCCACCCTCATGACCTAAATGAGAATCAATTATAACCATATCTATAAAAATACAGTGTCGGGGCGCCTGGGTGGCGCAGTCGGTTGAGCGTCCGACTTCAGCCAGGTCACGATCTCGTAGTCCGTGAGTTCGAGCCCCGCGTCAGGCTCTGGGCTGATGGCTCAGAGCCTGGAGCCTGTTTCCGATTCTGTGTCTCCCTCTCTCTCTGCCCCTCCCCCGTTCATGCTCTGTCTCTCTCTGTCCCAAAAATAAATAAACGTTGAAAAAAAAAATTTAAAAATACAGTGTCAGGGGGCGTCTGGGTGGCTCAGTCAGTTGAGTGTCTGACTTCAGCTCAGGTCATGATCTCATGGTTCATGGGTTCAAGCCCCGCGTCAGGCTCTGTGCTGACAGCTCAGAGCCTGGAGCCTGCATTGGATTCTATGTCTCCCTCTCCCTCTGCTCCTTCTCCACTTGGGATCTCTCTCTCTCTCTCTCTCTCTCTCTCTCTCTCTCTCTGTCTCTGTCAAAATGAATAAACAGTTTTAAAAAATTAAAATACAATGTCAGGGAATTGGACTAAGTACAAAAAGGTCTCTCAGAAGCTTCTTGGCCTATGCCTTATTCTCTTGTAATCAGCGAGTATCTTACAGACATTTGGCACCTTTATCGGGCCCGAGTACTGCTGTCATCCACCGCAAACTGCAGAGACCTCTTGCAGCTGCTAAGGCCTTTGCAAAATGAGAAGGCTACCGATAAAAACACATCATTTTGTAGAATACTTTTAAAATGTTCAGCTTACTATGTAATGGGAATCACTGAAAAAATATCTGAAGAAGATCATTTCAAACTTAAAGTCTGCTCACTTGTATCATTAGCAAAGATTAACCTTACTATTTCTAATATTTGTGTAAAAGTCATCTGAACAGATCAAACCATTCCAAAGCACATTAACATCACATACATAGATACATAAATGCACATTTCTTTTATTTCTTTTTTATTTTTTTTATTTTTGAGAGAGACAGAGACAGAATGCGAGTGGGTTAGGGGCAGAGAGAGAGGAAGACACAGAATCCAAAGCAGGCTCCAGGCTCTGAGCTGTCAGCACAGAGCCCGACGCAGGGCTCAAACTCACAAGCTGTGAGATCATGAAGTGAGTGGAAGTTGGATGCTCAACTGACTGAGCCACGCAGGTGCCCCCATAAATGC